ATTTGTTCCTAAAGAAAAGAAGTATATAATAGAATTTCATTGAATCTATATAATTATGTTAAGATACTGATCCTGAAATAGGAAATCTGAAAAGTCATCTACCAAGTAATAGTATCACATTTCTTAACATTTTCATTAATTTCTTTTGATGACATTTAGTAGCTGTGTTTTATGATTTCTTTCTTTTTGATGATACCCTTTAAGTACTTTAGTTGCCTTTTATATTATATTAGAATCAATTTTAACTAACCTTTCCAGATTGTTCCAGACCCTATTATAGTGGAAAACTTCAGTCTTTCACTATTAAGTATGATGTTTATTACGAGTTTAGCATCTATCACTTTAATGGTTATAACGATTCTTTTCTCACTACTCTTATGCATGCATTTTAACATGAATAGATGTTAAATCTGACCAAGTGCATTTTTATTTTTCAAGTGAATTAATAATACATAATGTTGTGGGAATTTTATCCTTTTTAGTTAGTGACATTTGGGATGACTAGGCACATGGTTTACTCTGATACATGACTGGATAAGAACTGAGATCTAGGGATTGTGTTTTCTCCCTCACTTGGATGTGGAAGGCTTCCTGATATACAGTTCAGTGACCTGATCATGACTTTTCCCATTCTTCCCCAGATGAAGAGGCAACAGGGTCATTTCCCCCTGTATTCATGAGTGTGATCCTCATTTTATCCCTTAATGCATAATCCTCTGCCCAGATATCCATGGGTTTCTCACTTTATCTGGCACCCAATGTGGGGATGACTCCAAAAGGTCCTGCTGCGGTCCACTGCACTGCATGACCAGACATCTGTCTCCCATTCCCCACCACCACCTCGCCTCTACATTCAAGCATGTGGTAAAAAGAAAAATTCAGAGTCAGGTGGTAGTTGCACAAGCCTTTATTCCCAGCACTGGGGAGGCAGAGTCAGGTGAATCTCTATGAGTTCCAGGCCAGTCTGGTCTACAAGAGCTAGTTCTAGGATAGGTTCAAAGATACAGAGAAACTGTGTCTTTAAAAACAAGAAGAAAACAAAAACAAACAAATAAAAACAAAGAAAAAGAAAAGTTTTAAGTTGAGTTTCTATCTCATATTAAAAAGCCACCTAAATTGGGACAGAAGAAAACCAAAATCTAGGGACAACTCTTGTCACAAATCTCTTTCATCTCATACTTATTCTTTCCTCTTTAGAAAGTTTCTTTACATATATCACTATCCTAAAATTTGTTTTCATATTAATGTTTAAGATTTTCCACTGTACCATAAATTTTCCTAACAGTGACCTCTGAAGTCTCCAGAAAGATGATGGGGTCCCACGACAATGATGCTGCCTGATCCATATCATGCCTTTGAGTCAATAAGCACCACACAAAGATTGACTTTGGACTACAGACTGCTCAGGACAATTCTAAGTTGGCTATTTTAGATGGTCCACCTTCCTATACCACTCTAGTCAGAACTTCTTATAAGAAGCAATACCCATTACTCAGAAATTGGCTATAAGTGTTACAGCTTGTCCTCATGAGACTTAACCATTGTTTTGGCATTTTACTGCATCCAGTAGAGATACCTTCATCCATTCCAGTCAGCTGGAAGTACACAACACACTCTCTCCCAACATGTGGGATGGATGGTTTCTGTTTTTTTTTTTTCAGGGTTATGAAAAAATGTCATCTGTTAGCGGTTGGTTATAAGTTGTTATAGTGTTGGGGGATAAAAAATAAAGGCTAGACTCAGGAATATCATTTGGAATAGAAAAAGGGGGGTAAATAGGATAGGATAACAAAATAAAATTTTATCTACTTGTAAACTAAAATACCAACTATCAGTTTTAGATAATTTGCATTGGTATGGGTTCTTGTATATTGATACAAATGTAAAATTTTTCTTCAATTTCTATTTAAGATAATTTGTATATTGACACAAATTCAAACTTATATTTGTTATACTTTATATATCTTCCTACTTCTTTTCAAAATGTTTTTGTATATTGACACAAATGTAAAATTATTTCTGTCACACTGTTTGTGTTTTGACTTATGTTTAGTATATTTTGTAAATTGATACAAATTGAAACTATTTTTGTCATGTTGCACTATGCATTTCTACCTCGAATTAAGATGCTTTGTATATGTAACAATTTCAAGGCCATTGTCTTTATACTGTACTTCTGCTTAGAAATTGTTTATTTTTATAATGTGAAACATTAGTCTTTAAATTCTATAGGTTGTTAAGAACTACAGATTCAGTCATCTATATTTCTCATACTTATATTAGTTCCACAAAGATGTATTCTATATAAATATGTAATCATTTAAATGTTTTGACAGCTTATGATTCTACAGATGTGAGAAATGACTGCTTCTGGCAGCACCTAACTACTCCAGAGAGAATGATGGGTACTAAAGACAGTCTATAAGGAGCTTGTGTTCTTCTTTGAAAAACTGGCATATAGCCAAAGTTGATTGCCACAAATTGAAGAGCGACTTTGTGTGACTGTCTAGGCAGCCAGCTGTTTCTGTCATTTCTTGCATCATTGGGAAGCCGTTTGCTTGTACTTCCTGCTTACTCAAACAATATTATCTTCCTTCTCAGGTCTTTGATGGCGTTGAAGACTAGATAGATACAGTCACAACTCCCTCATGTCTTAGCTAAGGGTTTATTACACACAAGACAGACTCTTTAGGATAGGACAGCTGCGGAGTTGTCTTTGTAATTTGCCAATTACCTATGGCCTGGACATTTAGAGAGTGTTTCTTGCCTGATTTTGCTCTTGTTGATTGCAGTTTTATTTTTGTTTATGCTATTATCTTTTCTTTTCCTGCACAATACTTTATCGTTGTTCTTATCGTATATAGTTTTATGTTAAGATTAGAACCTTCTTAGAAAAGGAGTGGAAGTGTAGTGGGAATTTGATTTGTTTTGGCCAATGACATTTGGGATGACTAGAACTCTGGGCACAGTTTTCTCTGATACATGACTGAGGTTGGGAGTCTCTCTCTCTCTCTCTCTCTCTCTCTCTCTCTCTCTCTCTGTCTCTCTCTCTCATTTGGATGTGGAAGGCTTCCTGATGCATGATTCAGTGACATGGTCCAAAGCTTTACCCATCCTTCCTTGTTGAAAGAAGAGGCAATAGTATTGCCTTCTCCTGTATTTTTGAGTGTGTGATCCCCATTTAACCCTTAATAAGCTTTCTTCCCAGACATCTGTGGGTTGTTCACTTTAATATAATGTTCTCCGTGTGTGTTCATATGTGTATGTGTAAACGTGTGCATTTATGCGTGCATGCGTGTGTGTGTGTGTGTGTGTGTGTGTGTGTGTGTGTGTGTGTGTTTGGGACTAGATTTATGTGAGTAAGGTTCCAAGTCCTGGGATACAGCAAGCTACCTGTCCTCAGCATATACTATACAACCATTGCCTCCTGTATTGTAGTACCTGTATACATGGCCAACACGCTTTTCCAAATAAGGTTTCTCAGAGTATTTTTCAGACTTAGTCAAGTTATGAATCTTTATAGTGCACTATTAAGGATAAAAAGCTCCACATGAACTATTAGCCGAAAAGTCAGGTGGTGGTGGCACACACCTTTAATCCCAACACTTGGAAGGCAGAGGCAGATGAATCTCTGTGAATCTGAAGCCAGCAGCTTAACCTGCAAGAGCTAGTTCCAGGTCAGGTTCCAAAGCTATAGAGAAACCCTATCTCGAAAAACCAAATAAATATATTAGTCCATTTCTATAATTATTTCAAAAATTAAATAATTCAAGGAATTGTTTTACTGATGTTCAAAGAGATTACTGGTGAATTAGTATGTGATGTTTAGCAGTCAAATTTGTTTGTTTTTTCAACTTGTAAATATTGTGGAGAAAGACATAGGAAGTTGGGAATGTGTAACAGATACTGTAGTGTGTGAGGTGAGGATTCTGGGAGCAGGCTAACATTGTAATTATGAAAGAAGGACAAGGTTTCTTTATAAACTGCAAAACTTGCTCAAAATATATTTATTTTTAAATCTTCTTTCAGTTTTACATTTTAAAGAATTAATACCTAGAAAGTCAATTTGTACTATTAGAAGAGATTTTGATAATTTTTATAACTTTGTGCCTACAGGTATCTAACTGCATATTTCATGTTTACTAGATAATTAAAGGGAGTTTAAAAAGAAAAGAAAACAGATCAATTGCATAAGTTATCATATAAATAATATACATTTAAATTTGGTCTAAATTCATGCCCTATAAACCTGGTATTGAAATTTCTCCATAAATATGATGTGGAATAATGGATTTAATTAGTCACTATTGTTTCATATATTTGTCATCTATGACCATGTATTTTAATTCACTTTTTCAAGTTTGTTTCCATGAATTAATTCAGAGGAGATGTTTCTGGAGATTTTACATTCTTACACAATAAAATTCGAAAGTAAAAATTCCTCCTTATTTAGATGCTGACTGAAAATACACATATTAAACTATATCTGCTATGTTCTCAATATTAAACTTAATTTGTTGTTCTGTGATTTCATAGTATGATGTTAAATAGTAAGTCTACTTTCTTTAGATTTGTGGCAGATGCTCATTTATATCACATGGAAGTAAGATTCATTACTCACAAGTGAACAATTACTACTCACTTTTCAAAATCTTTATATATGAAATTGTACATGACCTCCCATTAAAATGGGTTTATGTGTAACAATTTTAGTATGCTGAGGTTTCTTTTTAGTATAGCATAACACACTCTCAGACATGTTTTGGGACAGGTTCTAACTATGTATCCTTAGCTGCACTGGAACTCATTGTGCAAAGTAGAATAGCCTTTGCTTCCCAGAGATCAGCCTGCCTCTGCCTGACAAATACTGGTTTTGAAGGTGTGTACCAACATGCCTGGATCATATAAAATAACTCCTAAAATTAGATAATCAGATATATTTAGGGATTACTTTTTATACTTTTGTTGTCACTGATTTATTGATTTATTTATCATTGCAGATCAAAAAAATCAACAGAAATTTCCCTGTAAACCAGCAGGTAAGATCAAGCAATACTTGAAATACTGAATCATACTTCTCTTTAAAATGTCTATTATAGAAGGTAATCTTGGTGCCATCTGATTCTTATATAAAAATAATTAGTACTATAAGCTATCTTTACAGATAATTCATGTTGGATTAATTTATGACTTTAATATATTTTCTTCACTGAATATATGCAAAGTATGTTTTAAATATATGAAGTCTAAGATAAAAACCACCATTACCGAACTAATTATACTGATTTGTGTAAAAATCTGTGGATCTAGACATAGTATTTCTATAAGTTAGTTTTAGTATATCTTAAGTTAAATATTGTTTTATGTGTTTTGCCTATATATATGGTTGTTCACGGAGTACCTTCAGAGACCAGAAGTGGGTGTCAAGGTCTGAATGTTCAGATGGGTATGAGTGCCACATGGATATTGGGAACTAAACCCTGGTCTTCTGGAAGAGCAACAGCTTTTTACTTCTGAACTTTCTCTCTAGTGTCTAGTATATCTTAATTTTTAAAGACATCCTTAAAACTGGTCTGAGTACATAATATGCTGACATACTTCCAGATGAGTATAACTTAGTGAGTATAATGAAAATCATATATGATTGATGCAACAGGATAATGAGCTCATTGCTCTTAATATCAACTTTTATTTATAGCCATCATTCATACTCTAAGCATGCATCACTCTTAATATGTTAAAAGGTTTTGACAATATTTTACTTGCAAAACTTGTAGAAAATCACTTTTCTGATATACAACATTTATATAAAAAGAATTATTTTCTAAGCTTTTTTTGAATATTATATTTACTTAAATAAATACCCTTATTATCATTAGAATTGCTGCATCTTAAACATGATTTGTTATATGGACAGCAGCATTTTTTTTTTAGTGTAGACTATGCCATTATTCTGGACAGGACTAGCTCATAAAGTTGTTCTTGAAGGAAATAACATGAAATAGCTCTGTGTTTCCACAAAGATCTGACATACATCTGTCATTTTTGCTTACCTACACAGATGGCCATCTGTGATCATATTTAATAATGAACACATTCAGAAGGTGAAACAATGCTAAGTTTAGTAATTCTCGAATGCATATTTGAGATACTTGATATTATCGAAAATACAAGAACGTGGAGTCTCAGATCACTAACAGCAATGATACTGAGTTTAGTCCCTGTGTGGTGCTGTTCTCTTGAGAAATTCATTCTGGAAGGCACCAGAGCCAACTTCAGAAGAAATATTAGTAATTCTGTAGGACTGTGTTGGGGTAGGGACATAAATAAGAAAGTGTTTGAATATAAAGAAGCAGGCAATATTAGGTAAATCTTTGTTGCTGTAACTCAGATAAATATGGAAATTTGTAAGTTTTGCATATCTTGATAAAATAAAAATGATAACTCTTTCTTTGATCTGTGAACATCCCCAGCCTTCCTCTTTCTAGCTTCAGCATGTGAGTCTGAGTCTAAAAGGTTAATTTACTGTATTTCATAACCTAAACAATCCTACGCCATTTTTGTACTTATGATGATAGCTACATTTTTAAACATAATTCCTAACTGTAAAAAATAAGACAAAGAGATTTTTAACAATTTATTTGAATGAGAAGCTTCATGAGCAGTGAATGCTAAAACACAGAATGGAGAGAAATGCTTCATGTAGTAATGAAGTAGGCTTATTTGGTCTATCTTAGTGGGAAGACCCGAGTTTCATAACAATGTTCTCTGTCAGTTATGACTGACTAAACTTAAGTTTTGTTTGTCTTTAACATAAGCTTTATAGTGACTAGATTAAATTGGCTCATACATATTGATACCAATCATGTGAGGTTTTGGTCACTTGTAAGAGCCAAAATTTAACAGAGTGTACTTACTTTGTCCAGTAGCAGATCTTTTCACCACCTGTGTGTCTATCCAACTAGAGTAATATTGAATGAATTAAATAGGAATCACATCTAGGAAACTTGAAAGACAAATCAGACTCTAAAGTAGTTACCACAGACAGGAAGGCCTGAGTTCAGTCCCCAACACCCACATTAAAAAACAAATACAAATCCATTTTTGCAGGTTCTTTAGTATGACTGTCCTGGTTTTGTTTTATCTGCCGCATTGGTGAGGCTTCATGAGAATAAATTCTCTGATATTCCTAGGAGATACAATTTCAGAACAAACCGTCCACTCCTCTGGCTATTACAGATTTTCTGACCAATCCTTCTTCAATGATATCTAAATCTTACATGCCGAAAGTGTGTTGTAGATGTTTTGATTGTGACTGAGTACAACGGTATCTCTTATGCTCTACATTTTGATAGGCTGTTTTCTGTAATGATCTCTGCATATTTCAAAGAAATAGCTCCTTGATTGGTGAAAACTGTGGGTATAAAGATAAATATTTAGAATGTAGTTTGAAATTATTCTGGCTTAGTAAAGTGACAGTTGTAGATTTTCCTGTGAGATCTATGATTTTACTAGCCAGGACAACACCACTGGTTGTGCTAACACTCAAAGGACAAAAAAGGAAGGGAAACTGGGAATCCTGAGAAAGAAAGAATTGTTCTTTCCTAGTAAGAGACCTCTAGTTGAGCAATGGTGGCGCGCGCCTTTAATCCCAGCACTCAGGAGGCAGAGGTCAGTGGATCTCTGTGAGTTCGAGGCCAGCTTGGTCTACAGAGCTAGTTCCAGGATAGGCCCCAAAGCTACAGAGAAACACTGTCTTGAAACACATACACACACAAAAATTAAAAAAAAAAGAAAAAGAAAAAAAAAACCAAAAAGAAACCTACAGGTAACATTATAGAGACCGAGAAGACATTACATCTGCATCATATACGCCTATGCATATATATTCACATGTGTATGCATGTATATATAAATACATGTGACAATACTAAAAAAGACATGAATTTGAGAAAGAGCAAGTGTATTCATTGAAAGTTGGATAGAGAAAAGGGAAGGTAGGAAAACATAATTATATTATAATTTCAAAAATTGAAAAAAAGCCTCTGTGCGTTTTTTTGAAAGAGACTATCTCACAGAGATCACCAATCCTCGTAGAGAAGATGAGCTGGGACTATGATGCCTGAAAAGGGTCAAAATTCATTTCCCTTAAAGCCCAATCTACTATCTTACCCCCCTTTCTCTCTAAAACTAAACTTACTTAGGGTTTAGTTTCCACCAATATAAACTTGGAGTTATGTGTAAGTGGTTAATCCATTTTGGGATCTGTGTTGGAAAATTGGTTGACAGAGAAGTTTTAGAGAGAGAATGAGATGATTTTGCTACTTCCTACTACAATTTTGTTCCTCATACTTGATTATTCTCCTTAAAATCTACCCCCCATGTGAATTTGAATTGCAATAAAAGTCTTTTTCTGGTTGTGGAAAAAAAAATTGAAAAAAAGATATAAAATAAACAAAATACCTGAGCATCATGGCCCAGATCTTTAATCCCAACATTGAGGAGATGTATGATGATAGTTCTCTGAGCTCACTTTCCTGTAAGCTTGTTTTATGATATGAGTCTCTAATCAATGAATACCTTGTCTCAAAAATTGAGACAATTGGCTTCACTGGAACAACACCTAAGATTGAATGATCCCATTTACATGCAGGTACAACATGTTTGGGATAAGCAACAAAACTGCTTGATATCATATAATACTGTTCTAACATGCATTCATCAATTGTAACCATATATATGATTTAGTGTGTGTATTGATTCATTTTCCAGTAGAATGTCCTGTGTCTGTGTAAGGTATAGAAAGAGATTTACTTAGTTCATAGTTTTAAGCATCCCATTGATTTAGCCTCTTTTGAGAGTATCCTTGTTTACATGATACGGTAATAGATGATGTCATGTCAGCAGCAGGTTTACAAATGAGAACTAGATTAGCCTTGCTTTTCTATTAACAACTCTGGAAGAACTAATTAGTACCTAAGGAGGACTACATCAATTACTCTTGAGGACATAGTCTCCAATGACTTAATTACTTCCCTTAGATTCCATTCCTAAAAGAATCCTCAGAACTCTCAAAAAGCTCTTTTGCATAATGCCTAGGAAACATAAATATGCCAATTTACTTCAAGGTAGAATTCACATTTTTTTTTTATTTTTTCCATTCAAAAATTTACACTCTCCTCCTCCTATTTCCTCCTGCTCCCCCACTCTCCCTCCTCCCTCCCCCTCCCTCCTTAAGAGAGGGCTGGGAACCCTGCCCTGTGGGAAGTCCAAGCCCCCCCTCCCCCATCCAGGCCTAGGAAGCTTTGCATCCAAATAGACTAGGAATAGACTAGAATCCCAAAAACCCAGTGCCTGCTGTAGAAACAAGTCCCAGTGCCTTTATCAATGGCTTCTCAGTCAGCCCCCATTGTCAGGCACATTCAGAGAGTTCAGTTTGATTGCATACTCATTCAGTCCAGGTCCAGCTGGATTTGATGAGCTCCCATTAGAACAGGCACACTGTCTCAGTGGGTGGACTAACCCCTCGCAGTCCAGACTTCCTTGCTCATCTTCTCCCTCCTTCTGTTCTTCAAGTGGACCTTTTTTTTTAAAATAATATTACTAATTTTGGGGTCCGAGAGTGAGCAACAAGGGAGACAGATCACCATAATTTATGAATCCATACACAAACTTTATTTAGGAAAAGAGAAAATAAAAATCACCATGAGACACAAAGGCTTACCAGGCCCTGGGACCATAGCCAGAGGTTGGACTTTTGAAAGTGTGGTAACCTTGGCAGTTTTTGAGTTCCCCTTTTATAATAAGAAGAAAGCATTAGGCATGGATAAAAGGATTTTTATAATCTTGGAGTAAAACTTGGATGCAAATTGCTCTTACAATTTTCATCACCAAGATGGCCAGCTGAACTTGTGTTCGCATTTGTCTGTTGTTCCTTTCTTGCCCCTCTAATGGTGTTAACAGAAATTTTGCATTTCCCTGGCATTTCGCAGCAGGGAAGAATATGGAGCCATGCAAACAAAGAGTTGTAGTTTATGCT